GTGCAGGACACTTGTGCTAATACACGAATGTATGTATACCATTTACATAGATAATTTGTATTTGCATTTAGACGTGGAAACGATATAAATTTTAGTATGCAGTGAAAGTAGACTAAAACCTAGTGCCAAAGTTCACAGAAACCACGGTATGAAATGGCTACAAGAAAAAGCTTCGAAATTCTTTGGATGACACAGGATCACAGTATTTATTTCAATAAAGCTGCAAAAGGATACACTATCGAGAACATGGGAATTAAATAAAATGGTATTGTCTTCTAAACTTAACTCAGTTATTTTTTAAAGTTCCGCGATAGTGTCGCGGAATGCATGGCTCGTCGAATAATCACTGATATACAATTGACCACGTACTATTAAGGAGTGTATATGATGTACGAATATGTTCAAATATGATTTATTACCAGTAACGCGTAAAACATGAAATATAAAAGCGAAAATGGAAAAAGAGATACGTGAAATCTTATTTTAGATGTTGGCTGTGAACACTTGACAAAAATATCTGAATACGTAGTTCAAACCTTATAGGACGATTACGAGCAACACGACACGTTGAAAAACTATGTCTGCGATACGTCTACGCAATTCTTTCTAGATTTATTTATATTTAAATTAGTAAATTATTTTAGCTACGCGAAAACCGATTACTGATTGACTTTCAACAATTAACAAGCAGGATTCTAGCACGTGGCAATTACAGATGTTCTTTTCTATACGTTAGTGAATCAAACGATATGTAATCATCAGGAAATGTATACACCTATATATAGAATAAAAATGTTGTGATACTATGTGCTACACTTTACAATGTTTAATAAAGTATTTGTAAAAATAATTGAAAGGAACCATAATTAAATTTTACACGATTATTTGACTTTTAATAATTTTCCTCAAGTCCTCGGTAACAGCAAACATTGGCCCGTGTCCAGGTACTATGAAATTCGCCAGATGCATGATGTCAGATCTCATACGTGACTGAGTTGCCTGCAATTCTGCGGTTCCGAATTCTTTCCAAATGGATGGATCCAATATGTCATCTTCTTTTTCAAACAGATCGCCTACGAAATCATTATAGTCACGCTTACGTCTTCGAATATCAAAAGATTTGGTACCTGTTATAGCGAAACATATTGACTTGCTGGAAATAGTTGTATCGACCAAGACCGTGACATCGTCCGACGTATGTCCAGGAGTTGCTACGACTCTTACTCCAGGACAAATTCGATATCCCTCTGTAGATATTCGATTAAAATTAATCATGTTCTGATTGAATGTTGAAAGGAGCAAGACTGAACAGAGTTTACCGTTTTCAAAATTCCTTTCGAAGAACTCGTCGCCGCGATGGACACAAGTTCCGATTATGTGTTCCGCATTTAGGAAGAGATTGTTATTTCCGATATGATCGGCATGGCTGTGAGTGCAAACAACATAATCAATTTGATCGGCTGTTATATCATGTTCGGCAAGTGCTAAAACGTGATTTTTATTAGAATATTTTTATCAGAAATCGCAAACGTTATTAATGAACGGTAATGACATGTAAAGCACCATCGATTATTCTCTGTCGATCCCAAGCTGTCATGGTGTCGACGATAATATTCCTCGACGCTTTTATCAATGTACAAGAACAATTTGCTTTCAACGTCTCATCTAGTTTTGTAGAATACCCACTAAACAATACAATAACTTGGCACATCTTTACTTTCGTTTGAAAAGAGCTCTCATCCACTGCTTTTGCATTTTTATCCATGCTGCCACCTGACGGGGCTCAAACTTGCCTTCGATATGTTCTGTTTATAGGAATCAAATCAATTTATTTATTTCAGTTCATGAGACAAACAGATCGTAGCCGCAAGAATTTAGCTCAAATTTTTAGGTCGGAGGTTATGCTTCGATTGTATGTACCATAGAAGAATCTCTGCGAAGATTGAAGAACGCATCATTAAAAATGAAATTGGTAACTACGATAATATATGTCGTAACATAAGCAATTATTATTCATGTAATTTTTGTTGAAATATTTATTTTATCGTGTTTATTTTCATAGTATTGTTTATCGAGCGAACCAACGAAACCATGCTTGGTTTTAAGTTTCAAGGGGATCACTTTGATGTTGGATTGTGGTTTAAATATGCAGTCCATACTGCATTTCATGCCGATGCCTATGGTGCCCAGTGCAAAATTTAACTCTTTACCATTGTGGCTACCGCGAGACAATCATCAAGACTGGCAAATAGAAGGAGTCAGTATGCTTGTATCTGATAGGAAAATTCTATCAACATGATCCTCTAAACTGATCAATTTTTTAGGAACTGAAAGAATGCTGTGGCAGAGTATTTGTAGATTCAACGCCAGAATTCTCACCGCCTCTTGAAAAGATAATCGATTTCTCAGAAATCGACGCAATTTTAATATCAAACTACACTTGCATGTTGGCCCTACCGTTTATAACAGAAGACACTGGTTTCAAAGGCATCATTTATGCCACCGAACCAACGTTACAAATAGGACGATTCTTTATGGAAGAATTAGTAGAATTTATCGAGCAAACTCCTAAAGCGACGTTGGCTAAGCATTGGAAAGAAATGCTTCATGTACTACCTCCACCGTTGGCCGATGCTCTCAAGCCAAAGTCGTGGAAACATATATATTCAATGTCGGTGGTTAATAACGCTTTATCGTACATCCAGACGGTCGGCTACGATCAAAAATTGGTAAGTAAGCTCAACGTTTCTTTGTAGTACGTTTTCGTATTTCTTTATTTCTCATAGGATATATATGGTGCGTTGACAGTGACTCCTATAAGTTCTGGATACTGCTTGGGTAGTAGTAACTGGCTGATTTCGTGTGACCATGAAAAGGTCGCGTTTGTAAGCGGATCCTCCACACTAACGACGCATCCGCGACCAATGGAACAGGCCACGTTGAAGCATGCTAATGTGTTAATACTGACTGGTTTAACCCAGACACCGACAGCCAATCCAGATACCATGCTCGGAGAACTGTGTATGACCGTTGGTAAGTGTATCATTTAATTAATTCATTTGACACTTGCATCAATCGAGATCTAATGTTACAGCAATGACTGTCAGAACTGGTGGATGCGTTCTGATACCGTGTTACCCCTCTGGAGTTGTATACGATTTATTTGAGTGCCTCAGCACCCACTTGGACAAGACTGGCTTTTCTCAAGTTCCTCTATTTTTCATTTCACCAGTGGCCGAAACTTCACTGGCATATTCAAACATCTTAGCTGAATGGTACGTCGAAAGGCATTATGTGTCAGGCACTCGTACCAACTGCCTCGTGTTTCTCACAGGTTGTCGACCAATAAACAGAATAAGGTGTATCTGCCCGAGGAGCCGTTCCCGCACGCTTTTCTCGTTAAGAATGCTAGATTGAAACATTACACGTCCACGTATGCCGAAGGATTCAGTTCTGACTATAGACAGCCTTGCGTCGTCTTCTGTGGTCATCCTAGTCTCAGATTCGGGGACGCAGTTCATTTTGTTCAGTTGTGGGGAAACAATCCGCAACATACCATCATTTTCACAGGTACGTTCGTACAGTTCGTGGTATCTAATATTGATTAATGAATCTTACGACGAGTACTATTGTCCCAGAACCGGATTTTCCTTACTTGGATGCATTGGCACCGTTTCAACCGCTAGCCATGAAAGCGGTGCATTGTCCGATTGATACGTCCCTTAACTTTACTCAAGCTAACAAATTAATTAGGGACTTGAAGCCGGAACATTTGGTCGTTCCCGAGTGTTATACTCAGCCACCGTTAACTGCACCACATAGGACGGATCTAGTCATAGAGCCAGTGGGAGTGAGTCTTGATTTATAGTAAATTATACGCGCACATTTTGATTAAACCTTTTTTACCGGTTTGAATGTTTACACCAGTTTCTCCGTTTAAGGAAAAACCCTTGATCACTTTCAAACGAGGCGAAGTTATAAAATTGCCGTTAAAGAGGAAAAAGGGCCGCGTATTCATTGAACCAGAGTTGGCGGGAAATATTATTCCAAGCGAAATCCGGCCTGGTTTAAGTCTCGCTTCCGTTACGGGCGAATTGGAAGTTAAGGACAATGTATACACGATAAAAGTATGTACTATCGTACCTCGGCAAGCATTTTGATTCCTTGTTAATTGAACATCGTATTTTTAGAGTATCGAAGATAGGGCTAGTGGGAAGCGTAAAGCGTCATCAGGTTCACCTGCACCTATTAAAGAGGAGGTACTTAAAGAGAGGAAACATGAATACGGTAATTTAGATCCACAGGAATTGCTTCAAAAACTTAATCAAGAAGGGATTCAAGGAGCTAAGTTACAACACACACCGACAGCTACTAGTATTCACTTGGTAAGAGAAATTTATCAAATACTTTCTTTTATTTAAGTATAAAATTTTTCTTGAACTCGTTTTTTTGCGCATGCAGCAAGACGAAGATACTTTGATTCAGATAGGGGACAATTCGACGCACATCTTTTGTAACGGCGATCAGAAGATTCGAAGGCGACTCAGGACCATCATAATGCAGTGCCTCAAGAGATTTTAGGGTAGAGAAATGCCATATTTTTGTACATCGTGACAATTGTATTGTAATTTATTTCTTAACATAGGTACAATTTTTTTTCTTTACGTAGTACACAGGAGAATATTTATTGTAGTACTTCTCGAATAAGCGGCGTGTATTTCAGTGCTTCCAACAGGTTTGTACATGTAGAGAACACAAGACTTGAAATATTACAAAGTAATATTTAAAAAGTACGAAACTTCAATTAATTAGAATTTCGCACTTTTTGTTATACGATCTGGTAATCAAGTGTTACATTCTGTACATAAATTACGTTCGTACACTGAACTATACATAATATGTACAAATACAACTATTGTGGGAGTGGCAGTATTATATCTTCTTTCATACTTTCTCACGTCGTAAAATAATTAAATCAATGTTTTACAAACATTCCAGAAAACGAAAATATAATAAATACTACGGTTCAATCAGAAACGTGTAATTCGGTTACATGTTGGATGAAACACGGTATAACGCTGTTGTCTTCGATTCATTGACTTGGAGTAAAAAAATGATTAGGTAAAGAAAACTGTTCGTAACTTGAAATCAGAACAAGTTTGCTTAGATTACAGGTAGAAAGATATACAAAAAGCAAACATTAGACAGCTTAGTACTTATTAGTAACTTTCTATCAAGTACAATGAAGTTCACACTAATCTCTAGACTATGTAATATAATCCTAAACATCATTGTATTTCTGCTGCATTCTGAATGGTACAAGTTTGCATTTACGTCATCGCTTGATTGATTCAAAGAATCTTCTAAAGTGGTCTGAAACTCATGATCAGCATAAAACGTTTGTGCTAAAACGCAGAGAAATTTTCGTATTTATCATGAAATATATTTTACCATTCATACTTTCAAAGATTGGGCCATGTCTTTTACCAAAGCTTATTGTTGTTCTCGCGACATAAGCACTTGTCTTTTTCTTTTATACAAGTACATGCATTCAGCGTACAGGATAACTTAAATCGGCTTGCCAGTCGCGAAACCAATCGCTAATCCAGCTACGAAAGATGCAAGGAAGAAGTGAAATTCTGTGGGTTTAAACGTAGTGTCACCGGTTACAGAGTGATACCAGCGTCGCGTGCGAGTTTCACCGTTCTTCAACAATTGCTCAGCTTTGTCTAGTTTTTTATCGACGTATCTCTCGACCTGAAACAACGAGTTCGTTACTAATGTTGACCTATCGTTCTATCCTAGAGGAAGCCAACCAAGTGCCGTTGCTTTCAATGAGATCTGGGTGGCTTCTTCGTAGGAAAGAATTCGGGAACGCAGAGAGAAGACACGAGAGTCAGTACGAAGAAGAGAGCGACGCGATTTGATACATACGAAAAGAAAGTAAAAACAAATTCCAATGATTTTGTTTATTGTAAGTCAATGGTTTACAATACTTCCACTGTTTCGTATCTTCATGAAAATGAATGGATAAATTCCTACATAATTAATAATTGAAATATTAATGATTACAAACGCATAAAAGCTTCCTAACGCGTATGCATACTTTTTCAAGTCTCAGGCTTTGAACACGTGCGTAATATTATATTAGAGCCAGCACGATAAGCTTACACGTTGAAAAGTTGTAATAGAAATGTTCGTTAGATGAAAAAACAATTTAAGTGACAAATGGTTGATTTTTAAATACCGGTGATAAAGATGATAATGGTATACAACATACAGTACTAATGTAAAAAGTAATGATTATACAGCATCAACTTGCTTTTTGTACAGAGTCAATGGTCTTTCATTTAGGATGCTAAACCAATAATGAAACCACCAATGAAACTGGTCGCCACAAATGAATTGTATCGACACCATTTTCCTACCTGTAAATGACATGAATTGATTGATTACTCCTGTCTTATGTTCACACATCTATAGTCACAGACGATAAGCATAGTTACGTTACCTTGTCCAAAAACTTTGGTCCTTCACCAGTAACTTTCTCTTCTACCTTATCTGTAATTTTCTCAGCTTTCCTTTGAATCTTGTCCCAATTGACTTTTATGTAACCCTGGTGAGCTGCAATTTGTAACATTATAATCCCACCACCAACTGCGAACGCAGCTACTTTTCCAATTTTCATTGTCACAAAACCGGTCAGCCTGTGTTATAGATTTAATTAAAATTAATACAGACATAATTACACATACGAACAAAGTATTCTTAATCAAGATCGATTCGGATATATGTATGTATATACCATCCTGACGTTGTACCAATAACAATTTGTTTGGTGGCAGACGTTTTGCTCACGTCTCCTAAAATCTTGTCTAATATACTTTTTGCTTCCTTCGATATATCTACGTTACATTCTTCCTTGTTTGCCTCGTCTTTACTTTTCTTCGATATCGGAAGACTCATTTTGGCGCTGAAAACGATGTTTCAGTTTTTAATTTCTATCGTCGATGAACTGACAGGAAATCTTCATGGAAAATGTCAAATTTATTCGTAGTTTCTTTTCGTAATCATAACGCGTTCTTCCAACACTTGTTAAAATGTATCACGCAAATCACAAGGTATAAAGGTATATTTTCACGTCTTTAAATATGATTGATGGGAACTCATTCCTCGACTATTCGTCAGAACAAAAATATATCGATGATTCCATTGCTGAGAAATTGCAATAAAGATTATACTGTCTTTCGCTTTTATCGTAACAAATTGTCCTCGTCTCTTTGACGAACCCGTTAGATCGTACAGGGCGCAGATTAATTATCGAAGACAAACAACGAATTCCAAAATCAGATGAAAAGCAAAAACTGTCTACCGTTTAAGTAATTTTGTTGCTCCTGACTTGATGGGATTCTTACGAAGTTTAGGCATGATACAGTTCAGGTGTGTCCTTACATTATATAATATTTCGACAGTTGTTAGTATTTACGGTTATAAGGCTCACCTATTTCTTTGAATCACCAAAAGTATAGAACAGAATTAACGGTTTTGTATACAGACCGATTTGACAGAACGAAATCCGGTATCCCGCAACGATCGTCTCGTCTGGGTTTAAAGATTCTGAAGACGTTACAACAGCAAAGTGATGAAACGACCGTCCGTAATATCCTTTAAAAATATGATGCAATCATTTTTGGATTTGGCTGCATATTTGCAAGAGGAAATTTTATAAAAGCATACAGCCAAGTTTCTAAATATGAAACAATAGTCGATTATTATTATCTGTTTATTCTATCGTACATTGTTTCTAAACAATAGCTAATGCTAATTGTTACGAAGAAGATTCATAGTTTACAGATTTTATATGATTCTTTCAATTCAATTATATTTTATACGAGTTCTCGTGCGTATGTAATATCTGTACAAAGAAGCGTTCAAATTTTCGTGCGACTAGAAGACGTTACTTTAGTATCAGGAATTCGGTCGACGCGAGCCATGGAAGTGGTGGGTATACCGTGGAATTTGTGGGCATTAGGCGTCTAAAAGCCATGCGCCAAGATGTCACAGCTAGGGATATCATGCGGAGCCATTACCGTACAATACATCAGGGATTCATCAAGAAAATAAGTTGAATCTAAGCCTGTCCATGTCATGCACTCGGGGCCTACAGATACCTTCATGTTCAAGAGACAAAGTACGTCGCTACAGAACGTTGCTAGTGACTCCTAGTGCGCATGAGTCCCACGATGTGTCCATCACTGCATGAGCCGTGGTAATCGTCTTCCGTCGCGTGATTCTCCATCCTGGTTTAACCTGATCGCCGCTTTTTAAAAACCTGTCGTTCCGATGAGGTGACGAGATGTCGAGGGCATAAATCGTGATAACTCTCAGATTTCTGTGCGAAGCGGCTGGTTCCAAGTGCAAACATGTGCCCACTCAGTTTTTAACGAATGCATTTACCCAGCACGAAGATGGCCCAAGATACGGACGATATCAACTTGACTCCTCAAGAATTACAGATATTATCCGAGTTAGACAGGTAATCTTGTATTAAACGATATCCATCGCGCTTGACCTTGTGCTGATTTCCCAATTTTCCATCTGACAACCGTATTTTTCTCGCTTATCGTTCAAAATATAACCTGAAAGGTTTGACAGAATAGGCGGGCAATTCGATCGGTTTGCTCAGACCAATATACCTATGTCTGTCCTGTTCATTACTGACATCCTCTTCATGGGATAAGACGTATTTTTAATTTAACAACCCATGGTGCGATTGTTGAGAATTTTTAAATCAATTGTTGCACTTGAAATCTGACGAAAACTAAAGTGTGTACGAGCGTGAAAAGTGTTTTGTTAAAAATTTAATGTGAATTTTACGGTACAATACCCCTGCACGTTTGTACCGATTAGCATACATACCCATTGTCGTCCTATTCTGTTATCATCATTCTTCGATTGGTCATTCTTGTTTTTCCAATATGATGGCAGCCGGCAGTTTGGCTTCTTAAAATTAAACTCACCGGAGCAATCGAAAAGGAAAGCTTTAGTCGTTCGTGCAATAAAATATTTGGAAAGGATGCTGGTCCAGGCCCAAGCCGAGAAGCAGAGGAGGAAAGCAGATAGTACAAAAATGAATGTTGACGACTTAAAAGACGACGAGGAAGACAAAGGGATCAGCATCGATCCTAAAACGTACTGTAAACTAGGACATTTCCATTTACTCTTAGAAGATTATAGTAAAGGTACGTGTTAATTTTCAATACTTTTTATTGATGTCCTTGACAAATACAATTTTTTATACAATTCTAATATACAATTCTTTTTACTTTAACAGCTATGTCTGCGTATCAAAAGTTCTACTCGCTGAAGGGGGACTACTGGAAGGATGCATCCTTTTTGTATGGTCAGGGCCTGGTCTACTACCACTTCAACGCCTTCCAATGGTGAGTGGTACTGATAGAAACTCATTCCGCATGCATCTATTTTCTGTTTCCTTCATAACTCGTATTCATTACAAATTTGCTTTAAACACTGAGTACATAAACGTTGTCGTGAACGAACGACGACAAAGTCGAAATGTTGAATGGGGATACGCTCGTCTTACAAAGAGGACATAAGATAAAGTGGATGAAAGTGTCAGTAAAAAAAAATGTTACGATCTCTCGTGAGAGTCGTTCACCTTGAAGAGCGGGCGTTGGCCCTTGGAACGATGTACACATGGTAGAGTTCATCGTTCTCGTCCTGCGTTTTCTATTTTTTTAATTTTGCGAAAAATCCTGTCGGCAATACGATCCTCTGTCGCGTCACGTGGGTAACGTAGAGACTCTACAAAATTCGATAATGCAGTGCGCTCAGGAAGTTTACCGTGCAAGCTCGTCGCGTCTGGTTCGAATCCGACGATAGATGTCGCGTGCTTTCGAACGATGCGGCGAAAAGTGCCTACGTGCCGAGTTGTTGCACGGATATGGCGACTAGGGAAGCGCGTGGGGGGAAATAATAGGCCAAGTACGTATTTGTTTCAATGGCCAAAATGATAATTTGGATTTCTAGCACGTTACGCTGTTAATTATAGTACCGAACTATCTCGTTCCTCTCCGTTGCTACATTCGTCTTTACGATATACTACGTTATTTAAGTTTGAAAAAATTTAGACCCCGTATCGCGTGAGTACTTTGCATATAAATTATAATATCGCGCTCAGAATTATTTTCACAATTATGAGACGTACGACCGTATTCGGGAAATTGACGTTAATTAACTTGGTTACCGGTGTTTTGATTCTTCCCGTGAAACGAGTCTCGTGTCACGCGAAGTACATCTGCCAAATCAGAGAGATCGGTACTATATATATTAGTAATTTCGGAACGGTTAAGAAGATCGTGACACCATTAAATATCAATTAATGCAGTTAAGCTTGTCGTTCTTGATTAACTGCAGCGTCGGTGACGGGGTCAAATGTTCGGCTGTCACGTTCTAATTATGAGGAGGCTCGCGTCATAATTACTTACACAGAGACACGCCAAAACCGTAAAATGTTTCATTAAGCCGATCGATCGCCTGCTCGAGCAGATAAACCGGTTTGGTCTAAATTTATTAAATTTCAGACTGGGATCATTACGATGACTGTTTATCTTGGAAGATGTTACGCTTTCACGGTGTTTCGTTGGTAATTACATTGTACACGGTGTTTGGTATGAGCAAGCATACGACAGATATTGTTACTGTTAACTTGACATTTCCTGTCAGGCAATCGGCTTTGTAGACGGTCAGGAGTGGGAATATCGATTTCCTGTTCAACCCTCCTTTAACTCGGATAGTGCAAGATTCCCGTGGAACGAACCTCACCGAGAGGACTCCCTTTCGGTCTCTCAGTTCGTTCCACTCGACTACGACACCACACACCTAAACGTTATCAATTTCTCTGATTGACGCCTTTTCGCGACTTCCTTTCGAGAATCCCTCCTCGATCCACTCTGTTTAATTCGACAGAGGTAACTGATTACTAAGAATAAAGACAAAGTGGACCGACGAAATTCTTGTGTTTCTGGTGTCGCATTCAACTCTGTAGATTCGACGACGATTATTAATACCGATAATAATTATTCCTCGACTCGAATTGGATTTTTCATTATTTTCAATTATTGAAATCCACTGATAGACGTCAAGACTCGCGTTAACCGATCATGCGTATTCCCGTGGGTCGCGAAGCGTCCTCGAGGGTAAAAGTTCAACTCGTTAAAAATATACATGCTCGGGTAACTCGGCTCTCTTTATCTGTTCTCTGATTGACGCGGATGCGGATTTCGCGCTGATTCTTTTCGATACGTTTGTTGCGATGACTCGCGCACCGTGAGGAAAGTATGCGTACATCGGTGTACTGAACAGACGCGTATTTTATTCCACAACGGTAATTCGCAGGCGTTCGTACGATTCCGCCTCGCTTTCACACGGCATAACGAAATATTTGTACATGTGTTTCGTTAGTTCGTATTTTATGACGCCGTCGCTTCTTGAACCTGAGGTTTTTTTTTACAGACATAAATTGGTCGAACGGTCAGCCGATTATAAAAATTCTTCTCCCTCGAATTCGTACGTGGTTTACGTACGTGCACGTCTTCCGTGTTTCACTTCGCGTGCAGATCAGTTACTAACCTTGAGACATCAACGTAACCGAGTACGCGTACACCGTCGATCAAGACGCTGGTACATTACAGTTGCATTCATTCGCCGGCGTCGCTATAATTATATCATTATCGTTTTCTATGTCGGAACATATTGAATAACAGATCGATGCCGTTCCCCTTACGTCGTTACGTTCGGAGAGTACACGACGATCACTCGTCGTGTCGTGACGTACTCAAAAGGGTACTGTCTTTCGCCTTTGTTCGATTCGATGAACCGCAGACTTATTCACCGGGTGAAATTGAATGGAAAATCCTCTCTCCGCGGATGCGTGAGGCGGTTTCCTTGGACGTGTATTGGGTTTCAAAGCGTCCGTTCAGGTGTACGTAGCAGGAAGTACGTAACAGCAATTATTTTTTAGGCCACTTTGAACGAAAGGACCGAATTACAGCCGAATACACCTCGTGCGCGGACCATCGCGGCCGTGAAAATAAAAGAACTTCCGTGAAACACATGCCGGCCCGGAACCATTCCTTTCATCGAAATTCCGCGAGCACAGATGTACGAGTCGAAGATCGGGGAACAAGTCACAAATGGTAGAACGCTTAACCACAGTACGCACTGTGGTCCGATCCCACGTAGAGCCAAAGGGTTTTGACATCGAAGGATCGAATAGAGACACTGCTTCGAATTTTTTATTCCTTTATCGTATAAAATTCTACACAGACGAGTCGTACTTTGAAAAAGAACCGACGGGTGCAGAATTGGAACGATGCTTTCCTTAAATTGTCCTTATTATCAATTGCTCGTATCGGCAGCGATTTAAATGCTGCGAAATACGATTCGATGTCCGGGTAGCGAAAAGCATCGATCAGTCGCGTTGAATCGTCTGTTCGTTTTGATCCCGAAAGAAATTGAATTGGAAGCAGATATATTAATTACGTTCGCGTGATAGGTTGGCTCATCGTTGCAGCGTACGGGTTCGCGCTCTGATCGCGATAATTAGGCGAATAGAACCGTGGCTCATCGATAACATAAATTACAGAGGGAAAATGGTTCGTTGCACGCTACTCGTTCAGGTATCGACGGTGAAATGGATATTATCGTTTCTTTACCGTGAAGCTATTTCTTTGTTACCTCGCGTCACGTGAACGCACGACCAGGGTGCGTTCCGGTATGTTCATGGTATGCGTACTTGGAGACTAGTTTCCAAAGATGTCTCACTTGAATGCGTGGAAAAAATCTCAGGAATGTTATACTCGTAAAGAACGATGCGAACAGGTGATGCGCACTTGTGCCGCGAAATTTTATTGAATTCAATGCGGAACCGAGTACAGAGAAGTGTGGTTGTACAGAGTCGCGAGCAGCCGGGCTAGCAACCCCTTCGTTCGATCGGTGGACCTGTTTCTTTTTCGCCGACTTTTCACCCTCTCTGAGCCCATTGAACGGGGCCGAATCTCCCTGAGGGTGATTCACGTGACGCGTGACTCGTCAGTTCGTAAATTCTCGCCTATGGGCGCGTGTACACGTATATTGCACGGAAGGTTGTGCGTCGTAGCGATGGTTGCAACATTTATAGCAGTCATCGTATTATGCAGTCGGTGGCTCTATGCATGCTCCTGTTTTATGCGGTATCGATTTTCTCATTTTCTGTCCACCCGCGGTCGCGACGATCGGAAAAATGTGCGACTACTTTTCTCCGGCATATTTCTGCGTATCAGTTCCTTTTGAATCTGTGTTTCTCGTTTTAACGGTGTAACGAGTGCGATCCCAGTCGAATGTGCATTATGAATGCATCGTAAATGTGCAGACAACGTCGAATCCGGACGTATCACGGTTTCCGTTTCGTGGGACAATTTTAATTTACGAATCCTGAGAGATCATGCTCGTACGTTTGGTCTGGGGTCACACGAACGACGATCTGACAGACGCTTGTTCGCCTTTTTCTTGGAAAGGTGTATTAACGTCCCTCAGAACGACGCTCGCGTGTCTCCGAGCCTCGTACAAATTGATTTTCAAAGAATTAGAAGCTCTTTTGGGAGTCCTTCGAAGATTCTCTCATTGAATGCGCGGTATGTTTTTTTTTTATTTATCGGAGATACAATTCTAGCAATGAACCGACGACGTTTCGTTCGAAGATAGTAAGTGTTTCGAGAGGAGCTGCGAGATATTTGTCCGCCATGGCAGAGTGCCGCTTAGTCACGTGCAACGCATAGAGATGCGTTGCAGACGATCGATTTTATAGCCTCTCCTTCTACGCACGTGTTCCCCCCATGTATAGTCACACGTCAAACTGGCGATCGCAACAGTTCTTATCTCATGAGCTATTCCCCGTAGAAGCAGAAAGCTGGACAATCGTTTTTGCAATATCGATTCCACGGTAGCACCAATCGCGATCTTTCGCCTTACACGGTAAAATTCGTTTTTCACATGCTCTGATAACCATTTTTATATAATAGTTCTCGTTACGAGCGTCCATGTCGGAGTCCTCGTTTGAGAACTCGAGAATTCTCAAGTACAAGTGCTCGACTCGAATTGACGGAGCGTCATATATCCTGACAGTCATCATCGTTCCATCGTTTCGCGTGGAATACCTTCGGCGTTAGAATAGAACGACAATTAGGTTTCTCGTCACTGTCAATTACGTTAGACGCTGTCGTAGTTAATCTGGTCAGTCGTCTGTGCAATTATACATTTATCTTGGATCTCCTCGTTGCGCGATCGAGTTATTTTCTGCTTTCCATTTTGGGCCACGGAAAAAATACAGACCGCGCCATTGCGACGATGGGGACTGAAACTTCTCGTTTCGCACGCGACGCTC